CCTCATGTTTTATGATTTATGTGATATGGTTCTGGGGATACTCTGATGTTTAAACTATTTTGAAAACAAAATGTGTGAACTTAATGGTTTTTGAATGAAATAAAAATGTTTTAATTTGGCTCAATTTTTATGGATGTTACACTTACAATTTGTGGTTTATGGTTCCGGTTCGAAAGGGAAGGGTCCGGCTTGATCGCAGCGCATATACCCATGTTTTTCCGCAATTCATGATTTTGTGATTTACTATGGAATAATTTTAATTGTTTGAATAAAGATAAAGGAATGTTTGAACATATATATATATATATATATATATATATATATATATATATATATATATATATATATATTAAAAATGAAATTTTTACCCTTGATTTTCGGGATGTTACAACTAAGCCATCTTTGTATAAGGTTTGAAGTTTATCATTAAAGGTTTCTATTTCTTTCGAGTGGATCACAATTGGCAGCCGAAGAGAGTAATTTCGTCAAAATGGAATGCACTTTTAATGTAGAGTCTAAGCAGTATACATCCTTTTGTTTGGTTGCATTTTCTTACTTTACGTCTGATTTGTTACTTGTGTGATTGTTTAAGTCTTTTATAGCTTTGTATAACGTGGTGGTTGATTAAATTGGTGATTGAACATAAGTTTTTTAAAAAGTCCTTAAAATTATTATAAGCACCTCCCTCCAAGGGCACCTTCACAAGAGCATCAATATGAAGTATGAGTAACAACCCATATGTGCCCAAAGCATTAAGTCATTGATGCACAAGAACAAACAAGCATCATCCACGTAGACAATACACAATTAAGTTATGCATCCAACTTAACGATGAACGAGCTGTACTCCTATAGACACACGTAACACCCTTGTATTCTTAAATGAAAATAACAACTAGGATTCAATGTAAGGTTAAGTATTAATAATAATCCATAAGGTGGAGGAAGTCGACTAGATGGGCAGTGGTACCAAAGGTACCACGACTCCGCCCCAAGCTGGTTCGGCTAGCTCAGGTTGGTCGGCTTCACCACCACTCTCAGCTTGTTCATCTCTTTATCTCTCAACTTGCGCTATATGCTTCCCAATTTGTACCAAAATGTGTGGATTGGAAGATATGAATTATTTTTGTTATGTGTTCCGAGTGATGAAAGTAAAAGAAGAGAAAAAAATTGATATAGTGCTTAGGTGGCCGAGTTGGGAGTGTTAAAGGAGAAAAACTCCATCCAACCTTAAACAAATAAACTTTAGATATAATTAGCCCCGACTTGAATAATTTTGAATCAATTGGTGTTGACCTACATTGACTTAATATGTTGGATATGTTGGGTATATGAATGATATTTTTTCCCAATGGTAAAATTGCAATCATGGTGAAAACAACCAAAAAATATTTTTAATAAGAATTTAAAGAGTTTCTATTCGTGTGGTATCAGGTAGTGTCCTTCAAGTTTCGTCGTGACATATGTGAAATTAGACGTTAATTTAAAAGTAGATAAGATTTGCCGGTTAAAAATAATAAATAAATAAAAATCCTAAGATCGAGGTTAATAAAAAATTACGGTGGCTATCATCCATAATCTTCTCAATCTCTCATCTTTAATCTCTCTCTCTCTCTCTCAATAGAATTTTGTTTTCTTGCTTTTACTCGAAACGATTTGACGCTTACGATTTCCATCTTTCTCTTGTCACATACTCACATGGCATCGGCAGTGTAGTCGTTATCTTCATATTCGTAGGTGTCATCTAGCAAACACACATCTCATTCTTTTTTTTTTTTTTTTTTTTTTTTTTTTTTTTTTTTCTGGTTGTTTATATGGGTTTCTTTGTCATCCTTGGTTTTGTGGTTAATATCTATTGGCTCATATTCGAAAACGCCCAAAAATCTTTGGATAAAAATAAATGAAACCTTTCTCGAATTGAATTTGTGGGGTAGTCGAATTGGAGAAGTTTGTTCAATTTTGATTATGATCGAGAGCTATTGACCCCACTTGGAGCAGTGACAAAATTGTGTTTCTATTCTCTTTGTTTGGTTGAGAATTAATCTACATGTGATGGTTTTACAATTTTTTTTTGCTTGGAAGTAAATGAAGCTTTAAATAATCAATGTTGAGTACGTTTGATTTTGATCATCATTGTAATATGTCAAGTTGTGGATTTGTTTTGATAGGAATTGGTTGTCTTGTAATTAAGTTGATTTTGATCATCATTTGTATTGATATAGTCTTGTATTTAAACCACCATCACCGTTTGACTTCTTCAAAAGTCAATCATACATATCTTTTAAACACACCGTGTTATATATATATATATATATATATA